TTACTTTTCCTAAGCTCTTTAGTTGTCAAGCTTTCCAAAAGTTTCCAGAAGTCAGTGCGCACTTTCTTTATAAAATCCCTTATTCAAAAGTATTCTTTATAAAACCCCTTATTCTTTAAGTTAGTTCTTTGTTCTTTGTTCTTTGTCCATTGATTCATTCCCTTTTATTCTAATTAATATTCCAGATGTCTTCAAAGTTAGGTTTCTTAATTCCTTTTATTTTCATATTGCCAGAGTAGCTCCAGAGGTAGCTAGCTAAGGATTCCTTATTTAATTATCAATTGATTGATTTTCTTATATATTATATTGGAGGCCTTGGTTGTTGAGGGGGGGGGGAGTTTATAAATCAAGAGTCAACATTAGAATCTACATGAATCTATAGTAGACCGTTTGACAGGAAGCTGGGCCTGACTGAGAAGAAACACGGATTTTGCCCACCAAATTCACTTGCAAAGGTTAGCCTTCGAGAATGCAGTAAACTCTCGCGATGGTTTTGGCCGAGCCCGTGGATTTTGAAGACCTGGAAGACAGCGGGCCATGCGTGCTTCCATGTGGAAATCCACAGCTTGGGGAACTTGTAAGGATGGGGAGTGGTTGTAAATCTGGTTTTGCTGGGGCGTTGGGTTGCCCTCGAGACCGGCCTGAAAGAGTGCAAAGATGTTCGGATGGGACCTGTCACCCCGCTTTTCCCGTGAGAGATCAACATGGATGTTCAATTCATGAACAAGCATGAGCCACTCAGGATGCTGTTGAGAATGAACATGTTGCACTACCTGGAAAGCATAACTGGCATAACTCATCATAACTCTATGACCCAAAGACTCGGCCGATGTCGTTGGAGCCGAAGCACTGCGTCAGTTTCTCCCGGTTTCTTATTTGCTTCTCATCTTCCTGCTCCTTCCGATGCTGCCTGGGGACTCACAAATTGGACGGTCGATGGCGATCTGGGTTGGGTTGCTGGCAGGCTTGGCCCATGAAAGGACAAATCCTCTCGAACAAAGACCTCAAAATGCGAAAGGATGCCTTCTGCTTGGGGAGGCAGAAGCCATGGTGAACTCATAGTTACATATTGATTCATATGGTCAAAATTGGCCGACCAATGACGAAGAAGTATGGCCTTGGACCTTCCATAATGCTGTGAAAAACAGAATCGAAAGAACATTAAAGAAACACGTTCAGTCGCGGAATCGGCACAATCTGAGCACGTTTTAATGTTGCCACCCGCTGGCCCGTGCCGAACTGTGCTGTTGTCGTTGAGCCGTTGGGTTGGGTGAGACGATCGGCCGTTCAGGCCCAGCGGCGACAGGACGCCGGGGTTCAGCAAGGAGTACTTGTGTCAGGTGATCATGGTTCAGCCCTATCTCTAGGCATTTAGTTGAATTGTGACGATTTTAATGTCAAATCTTTGTTGAGATTGTCTATGCTAGTTAACTTAAAGAACATGGGGTTCAGTTGTGCGACTTGCACACTGCTCATCTGTAAAGTTAGTCACTTCAAATCAATCATTCATAGGGCACTCCACCGCATCCTTTTGTGTTGCTTTTAATTTTGCAGTAGCACGAATTGTATCTTGGCCTGGTACTTTTGGGTGGGAAAGAATGCCCCAGTAAACCTCCTCAGACGCATTCAGCACTGAGGAGGCTGTCAATCATCTGTTGCCGGCGCACGGCCCTCATCTTCAAATGATACAAGATCGCGACGACCTAGGCATCAAAGCAGGACCTCTGGCGACCTTGAAGCTTGGTCAAATGAACTATGTGTTCTTTGTGGACAGGCAAAAAGAACGTTACATCACACTGAGGCTTTTGTGAAGGAAAGGATTCTTTTGAAACCTGTTGAATGACAACATATATAACCATAGCTCCGGCTACAGAAGGTTCGCAAATGGAAATGGACATGACATAAAATGAGCGGAAACTGGACGGAGACCGCAACTGCAGCGGACTTGGCCGTGACACGCCACGGGCGCCCGTGAAGACCGGATTCCCCGGCGGTGTAACTGTGTGACCAAGTGGGCGTTGAACCATGTAGGCCGTCTCACATGACTGCGGAAGCTGGCTTACTAAATAGGGTTCCCTGACGATCTGCTTGGTGAATCCTGACGATCTGCTTGGGTCACATGGATCTGCTTGGGTCACATGTGATCTGGATCAACGATAGTGAACTCTCGATAGGCCAAACAACTGGCAAACACCCCGCAAGAGCACTTCAGCCAAGTCTCTGTCAAGGGAAAAAAGATCAAGACCATTGAGGCCAAGGGAAGATTCCAGTACCATCTCCCGCTCGGCATCTCCTGACTCCGTGGGCTTCCGATGCAACTCAAAGGCCCGAAATATACAACATACAACGATACACCTCAAATCAAAAGACTCACGATCGATTGCTACGGCTGGTCCAAAACTCTCCCAAACAAGGCAGCACACAAACAAGTTTTGCACAGGAGGGGCTACCATGCAAAGAACAACTGTGTCTTGGACCTAGACCTACGCATCCCCAAAAACAGAAAGGAACCAATAGAGCACCTGTCGCCTGTCGCCTGTCCTTTGCGGGAGGAGCCACTTGCACTGGGGTGCCCTGGTTGTAGCCGCTGTCCCACGGGCTGGGCAGCTGCACTCCGCCGAAAATGGCCAAAGGGATGAAGGACAGCATCGGCCTCGGGTGGACCGTAGCAGTGGCATGTCACGGGAGAAGTTGTGTTGGAATAGAGGCATCAATGGAGGGCATGCGGCATCTGGAGAACACCCCCTCCATGATAACCCAGAGCTGTGATCCTGACAGCTCCAATCTTGGGACACGTCTTCTGAAGACATGTTGATTTTGGAGGGAGCTCAGCCCAGCCACAGGAAATAACACAGCAAGGTAAGGCAAAGCAAGCGCACTCCGCAGCGTTGCCAAAAGCCTAATCTCTGCGTCTCAGCCGGCAAAAGCTCCACCTCATTGCCTTCCTCCAAATGCAGAAGCAGCACGAAATTGCTCAACCACCCGTGACATCTGAGGGGCCACAATCAAAGCTCGGTTTTTGATGTGTTTGAACGTACTGGGCTGGCTCAAGCAGCTTAAGTAGTTCCATGTGAGAACTTGATTTCGCGGGAAACTTGAGAACATGAGAATAACAAATGGAGAGTGAAGTGGGAAAAAAATCTGCTTGCAAAGGAAGCGTGCACTGCAAAACACACTGGAGATCATGCTCCTTCAAAAGCAAAATGCCATGTCTGCTAAGGACCTGGGTTCTGTCCTGGAAATAGACTATGATTATATGACACAGGACTCTGACTCTGGAAATAAAATGTTGTGAGGCCTCCAGCAAACCAGGCCCTGCCACACCCCAGCATGCGGCGACCGCACCAACCCGGTGTCCTCCATCTCTTGGTATTCTCGGTATTCTTGGAAGCTTGGATCAGTCTCCATGGCTTTTTCAAAGCAGCTCAAGCTCGCGGCTCGGGCAGCTTGAGCTCAGAAGAGCTGGTGTGCGGCATTGTGCTGCCAAATTGCTCCAGAAATTCGATCAACATCTGTTCATGCGCGATCGAATCCAAGGAATGATCTTGCATGGGCCGGCATTGGCAACCCCCACATGTTTTCAGGCGCAAGGAAAAATGCATCAACGTTCATATATATATATATACACGGTATACTCGGGTCTGGTGAGCTCCTTAGTCCCTAGCTATTGATGTTTTTGTTGCACAGTCCACGTCCTTACAAGAGGTCCATCAAGCTGCACCTTAAGCTCTCAATCACCTGCACCCTCGATCCTCCGTCCTCCCGGCTGGGTGCCAGGGGGCGCGCAGGCGTTGATGAGGTTCTCGCTGACCACGGCCGTTAAAATGGCCAAGATGGCCCAATTGGCGAGGATCATGAAATCTCAGCGGAAGCCCGGATGGGTGAGCACAAACAAAACATGGAGGCCCCTTTTCATGTTGGCCTCCAAACATTCACAACGGAGGCGCCCCCAGATTCTTGACAAATGAAGGCTCCTTCTAAAACTTGCTTTGAGGATCCGCTGTAGGATCCTTGACCCATTGGAGGGCATTTGTCAAACAACCTCGATGCCGAACCGTCTACTCGATCAGGTTGGAAGAAAAATGAACCCATCAAATTTAAGCTTAAACAGCCCTTCCAGGTGTTTGGATGCGGAGCCTCGTCTGAAGGTTCAATCATGCTTGAACAGTCTGAATCCATCCGAATCCACAATCCAGCTTTAGGCTACGGCTACGGGTCTCTGTTGATTTTTACGATTATATAATGTTGATGCAACCGAGCTTGGAGTCCGAACAGATTCATATCATATCGCCCCTGTCTCATACAAGATGGCCCCGAGCTCACCATGAAATCCAAAGACCCAAGAGGTAGTGCCATCCATCTAACCATCATTGTTCCCCTGCAGCTTAAGATGGAATCCCAGAACCACTGGGTTGTAGAGGAAACTTGTCTTCTACAAATAAGTACTTGAAATGTCAGATCTCTTCCTTGCGCCGTGCGTATACTTCCGCATATGCATTCATGCAACCTGGAAGAATTATATAATGGCTAACAACTATAGCGTCTCATGTCTTCAGGTCCAGACCGGGCGCTCTGGACCTATCCAAATCGATCCTGGCCGAGCCAAAGCCCTCTGACGCGGAGGCTTATCATGATCATCCAAGGTGCAAGCAGTGATCATCTTTGAAATCTGCATGTACTCGAAGAGAGGGTCCAAGACTTGTGCATCGGCATTCATCACCTTGAACCTGCAGCTCAACAGCTCTGCTGCCAAAACATCATGAACACATGGGTGTAAAATACTTTCTAAGGTCCAACATGTCTTCAAGGATTTTTTTACAAACATACACTGGCATACAGCTTGTTCATTTCATGGATGCTTTCAATATCAATCCTTCAATCCATGCCAGCAGTTCTCAACGTTGATTCCCAGCAAGAAGGTGTCAAAGGAAGGAAACCGGAAGTTGCCTATTCCAACGACATGAGCCACATCTCACCCAGGTCACCCAAAACTTCAACTATTACATCAAATGTCTACCTTGATCTCGACAAACTATGGCCCTATGGGGTGTGGAGGCTTCGAGGGCGCCAAGGCACAGCACAAACATGGACTCCCCGACGTGTGGGAAAATGTCCACGACCGCCCTCAGACCAAGCCATGCGGATGCGGAGTGCGGAGTGAGCATGCGGAGCCCGCAGTGACATGGATGAATCATATGGACTCTGGAAAGCTAGTTTCCTCATGTTTCCTCCACTAGCTGGTGGGCTTGACGGTCCATGCTGAGCCGTCCAGCTGCATGAGGGGTTGCCTCGTCATTTATGGTTGGAGTTCACCCAGCACAAGCAACTAGTTCCAGCACCTGGAGCATCCAAAGAGGTAAGGCCGAGCATCTAGTATTGAAGGCTAACAATGTGACGTGGAAGGGATGTGCCTGGTAGATTCTCCGCTGCCTGGTTTTAACCAAATCATCTAAGATCATAGAGAAAGATACAGTAAGCACAAAAGGCGCCGTTGCTACGGCGCGAATGGTATACATGCAGCCAACAAAAAGCCTCTGCAGGAGTTGGAGATGATTGATCGTTGACAAAATAATTACATATAGTTATTTAATCTTGCCATCAGTCTGTAGCATTCAGTTCCATTACCCAAGAATATTGTTTATCGCAGCAGTGTGAGGTGGGACGTCCTCAAGGTTATGCCGTTTCTTTTCCCAAAGACCTCTCTCCCTCTCTTCCTTGATTCCTTGATTATTTCATGCATCGGTCTATCCAACTTGCAAAACACCAACACCACCCGCCTCAACCCCCCCTTTGACAGTGGAAGGGTCGCCCAGCATGTTGCACCGGTCTGGTTGCACCGGTCTGGACGCCCTCCATTTCGATCGGTGAAGCCCAGCCGCTGGGGGCAGTCTTCGCCCACCAGGAGGCGATGTCCAATGAGTTGAGTGCACATGATGCCGCAGGAGTACAGCACCAACAAGGCCAGCAGAAAGACCCAGGTCATGCCCTCACAAAACCAAGCGAAGCGGACAGCCACAAGCTCATTGAATATGACATATATATATATATTATATAATATATATATATTTATCTCAAACAGTGGAGTTCGATCGAATTGAACAATTGATGAAGAGACAGGATGTCTCGACCAGTTTCTGGAACTTCCTTTTGACAGGAACTCTTTGAATACAGGGCATCATCGGTTCTCGAACGATTTGCCAGGTTCGATCCACACATCTCGGCAGTCCGGGCCATCTTGGCTTTGCTGGGTGAGGACTTTCCAATGAACTTCCACGAAGCAAAGCGAGTTTCTCGTACATGTGGAGATTTACGTTGAAGAGCTCCGGGTCCGGGGAAACCCTAAGATGTTGGCATCTCCACAGGCCACGGAAGAAACTCAGTTGAAGCCCCAGATGTCGTTTTCATCGTCTAGATTTCAGATCCTGTAGACTGTAGATGAACTGCTCCCAGAATGGTGGAACCCCCATGACTACGACAAGACCCACCATAGATCCACTTGTTTTTTTTTCCGGTCGCTGCGCCCGGCGCCCCAGGGGTGGTCGTTGAACGAGTTGAAGCCCCGCAAGCCATTCTGGTCCGCCATGCCACGAACACCCTTGAAACAAACCAGGTACTGCGGTGACGGTGATCAGATTGGATCATCATCTCTAAAAATGAATAAACATCACTTCAAAAAGCCTATGCCATCTGACATGCGCAGCGGATGCTTTTTCCTCCATTGCCCCATGTGGTCTCTTCCATCTTCCGCCTGTAGCGACTCCAGGATCCCCACGGCCAAGGTGTGTAGCGGTGGGATGTCGCGGATGAGACCTGAGGAGTTCACGACGTGGTGGTTCTCCCGAATGACACTTCCAAGGGTGGAATCCTTTTGGAAAGGTGGAGGAACATGATCTCTCAATCACCTTCCCAAGGGGGTAAGAGTAAGAGAGGTCAAATGCATAGGGGTGGGAGTGGACTGATGTGGATTGTGAGATCTTTGAACCCTTTCTGCATCCGTTCAACATAATTTGGGAGCCAAAAGAAAGGATCAAACACTTGCCCCAAGGTGAAGCACGCCCCTTGGTACAAATGTTCACAGGAGAGATTTGAGGCTTTTGAACGTAACCATGCCCGCAACTCCAGGGCTACTCGTGGAACCTCCTCCCCATGCAGCACCGATTTGCTCCGAAACCTGTCGCTTCGCCGAAACCTGTCGATACGAACCGAGCGGCGCAAAAGCCGCATGAGCCGCAGGAGACGCAAAAGGCGGAGGAGATTGGTGGTCGTGCGATTCACCTTCAAACGCTCCTGGCGAGCATTGCACGAGGTGCGGAGTGGCTACTAACTAACTAGCCCGGAGTTCACGGAAGCTCTGAGTTTCGAAAGATCCTCCGTGGTCTGTGGATTGCTGCTTTTTGTAGGCACCTGAAGGGAATCATCTAAGCAGGATTAGTCTAAACCCTTGTCAACACTCGCCTAAACAAAACGTGCTTCAGAGCATTGACATGTTTGAGCCCGCCGTATGGGACTCAACTCTTCCTTTATTGATTTGAAAAGATTGAAAAGGGTATGTATGCCTTGCTTGCTGAGTTTGGGAATGCTGTTCTCGCTTCTCTGCCGCAGAGTGTCAAAACGTTCGAAACAATCCAAGGAAAAGAATCAAAGGTCTGCAAGGTCCCAAAACCAACTGATTGAACCCCCCCCCTGACCTGATGAAATAGCAGCCCAACTTGAGGGCAATTTGTGCCGACTTGTGTGGCTATGTCCAAGCTGAAGCGCTGTGCACAGCTGTGCACTGTCCAAAGACATTGCTTCACTGACCGTGCAACCTGCAAGCGGCCTGAACGCAGCCTGAACGATCCGAATGACTACGACAGGACGACTCCCTGGTCAAGTTGCTAGGGCCTGAAGTGGCTTCGTCCTGGCCTACCCGATCTCCACCTACCCCGAGTCACTCCGGAAAGACCAAACCGAACTGGCCACCCGAAGAATAACCTGAACGCCCCCCTCCTGAGTGAGGCCGGTTGCGTGGAGGAAGTGCAACGACAAGGGCAACAGCCACTGCTCCACAGCGCCCAAAAGGACAATTGTGAAGTCCTTGCGCGGCCAGACTCAGGGCAGTGGAATTGGTGTCGTTATGCTTAAATGTTTTAAATGTTTGTTTCTCCCCGTTTGGGGGCAACCCGGTCGGAGATGTCCTCATTGTTTGTCACCAAGCCTTTAAACATGAAACACCCTTCGATGGACAAATGCATACTGTCCAAACTGTTATATGTCCCAACACACAAAAACACCAACCGTTTGTGTTTCCTTTGGACATCATGAACTTGGCAGTTCCGTCTGTGAGTCTACTGATGCTGCGCAATGCTGCACGGTTTTTGTTGTAAAGTCTGCTTCGATGTATGTTCCATCCTCCTAAGGAAATGGAGGTTACTGGTGGATAGCCCATGATAATAACCCACTCTATAGTCACCAGTCCAAGCATCCCCATTCTTTGCGGATGTTTGAACGGGAAGTTTGTTAAACATTGTGCAGCTGTTGAAAGCACATGGTAAACTAGTTATAACTAGAAAACTGCATTGAATATATGTCACACAATTTACATTTCATCCTTGCAGCTAGCGCAGTTGCATTGTCTCTTTAACAAGCCGAGCCGCTCAAGGAATGCAACTTTTCTTCCCTTTTGTAAATTATGGCTGGAACATGCTGGAACCATGGGGTCCATTGCGGCACCCCCTTTCTTGGGATCCAAATGTGTCAGGGCCAATCTCCTACCAAGGCCAGTTTCATTCAGTTGCATTCACCCACTGTTGCTTTTGAACAGATTAAAAACATACCATGCAATACTTCTCAATACGTCTTATCCATGTTCTTATCCACATCCATGAATCCATGAGGAGTTTTCTCTTCAGAATGGGTGCTTGGACACCCGCAGGTTTTCAGCCTCGAGTGCAGTTCTTGGAGATAAGCATATACATGAATAATACAAAACTCCATGGGCAATGGAGTTATGAAGTTGAACTCAACACACACAGGGCCAAAATCCTTTTAAAAAAACAAGATGGAACCCACGAACCCGAATGCAAACACGATCGAAAAAACTAATATGTCCAAAGGACACTCTTGTAGGACACTCTTGCGGGACACTCTGTAGGACACTCTTGTAGCACACTCTTGTGGGCCACTCTTGTAGGAAACTCTTGTGGGACACTCTTGTGGGACACTCTTCTAGGACACTCTTGTGGGACACTCTTGTGGGACACTCTTGTGGGACACTCTTATAGGACACTCTTG